GTCAGACCGTTCAATCACAATTTGTATCCCAAAGACATACGTACATACATCACTTCACCGATCATTTCCCTCCCATTCGTTCCCTATCCCAGCACAACACTTTTTCCCTGGTCACTTTCTAAACAAACACTCACGCGCGCTCACGCATACGCTCTTTCATCACATAATTCTCTCGGTTCAGATTTCCTGGTTCTTTGCCGTTTAATTTGTCTTTTCACTTTTGGAAACGATACAGATACCCTCCGTTATGCTTGAACTGTAGAAGCCGGGACAGTCGGCCACGACGAGCGAGGCTCCGGGGATTGCCGCCCGCTACGACTCTGCCAACACAACAACAACAAGACCGCTTCACGAGTCGAATTCCTAACCATCTAATTCGCTAGGGACTTGACTTGAGAGAATATGGAAATCCAGGTAGCGCGGTGCGTTAACCGCGAGCGCGCCCTCGTAATATTTCTCCCTCACGGCGTGGCGATCCGCCTACTATATTTAACCGCCATTTTCTTGCTCGAGTACAAGGTCGAATCAGTATTACTTACAACCTACCCGGTGATTCGTGTATTCTTAGAGACCCTTCGCTTGACTCTCCGTGGACGGTGCCGGAGTCACGCGAGAGCGAGAGCGATACGCACACAGTGATGGTGCTGTCCGTGTAATTCGGAACTGAGCGACGTGTGACATTGTATAACGGCCGGGCTAAGACGCCGCAGAAGTATTGACTTACATCTTCGGCTCACTCTACTTCCTTTTTTACTCGTTGTCCTTCCTGTTAGTCGACAAAGCTTCTACAATGTCGATAAGGGTCTTGAGCTCGAGCCACCGTGACTTTGTGTTAGCAATCTATCGATGTGAGACAGAAATGATCCAGCTTCGGACGCCACGGGAATCCAGTACTCGGACGGTTAACGTCGAGTAGCAACAAAGTAAAGATCCAAGATAAATGACATGGTTACTGCGAACTCTTATTTTTAAAGAGAAGAGTTGGGATGGAATGGACACGTGTTGAACGGGACATTGTAATTATCTGAAAGATGAAGAATCTCTACACTACACGATGAACGTATTTTTGTTTTGTAGCAATGCATGCCTAACCACGCCTAATTTCAAGATCAAGCAGGAGCTGAAAAGAGATGGACAAATCAGTTCAACAGAATATCGTTCACTTAAAACTACATTCTGGCTTTTGTAAATCCTGTCGCTGCTATACTGGAAAGGCATGCATCCTACTTTGTCATTTATTGTAATAGCAACTAGCTACACTTGCTGAGTAACCTATGTGTGTGACAGAGACAGATCGAGAACCGATACTCGCTCTGTCCCTGTCTATCTCTAAAAATCTCTAAATATCCCTGTCTGACTCTTAAATGACAAAGCAAACCGCATGCCTTTTCAGTATAGCAGCGAGAGAATCGCATTCTGTTCCACGTGATTTATATTCCCGCGTATTCATTCTAAATACCAGATGTTGGAGAATGGATCTGCTGGAGCATTTAGAGCTCCAAAATTTATTTAGGTGCACTCTACTCGCATGATAGTGGCTGAGTCAACCTATTCAGTATACCGTGATGTTTTGAGAAAAGGTGATGCGTCCAATGAATAGACACAAAACAATTTTTATAAAAATGCGAACTTTATATTAGTATTTGCAAATTTTTGCAAATGAATACAAAATATTGTATATAGCATATATTGGTCACAGGGAACCCGGTCATCGGCATTGACGGCCTATTATGCACGGGCTAATGTTATCTTATTTTATTACACTGTCTCATTCAATATAACCAATATATAAAAGGAACAAAATACACTTTTTTAAAAAGTAAAAAATATAAAAGATAAATAGTTTCTGCTATCTTGTGATGATTTCTTTAACTTTTCTGCTATCTTGTCTTAAACAAAAATGTTCCTTTCATTCCACCTCTTTCTCTAGAGAAAAACATTTATCGTTGTAGACTACGTTTTCGATGAAATGGTAAATTTTGTACTGTATGCGTGCACACCACTATCATTTATCTCACGTGTTTATAAATTTGTTGTCGTTTATGTTTGAGTTAATGTTCACAAATATTGTAACAGTGGTATAGTGGTATTTATTTTTTTTTGGTACATTGATATGTATTTGTTTTATATAACATCGTACTGTGATTAATGCTTGCTACAAAGTGGAAGTACTAAATAGTACAATAATTAAATCCCGTAGCAGTCGTATTTCAGAGTACGCGTGTCCAACGAGATTTACAACTCGATGATTTTGGAAACGTAGCTTCATCCTAGGATACGTTATTCTATAGTTTTGACGTATTTTTTTTCTATATAATCAACATCTCTTATGCAGAAAATTGTGGACAACTTTGAAACTTTGAAATTGTAAAAAATCGATAAAGATAAAATGAAGTTAAGTTCACGTTCCGCGTTTTTATATGTTTATCCTCGACATTTGCAATATACATCTAAACTGATTTTTACTGAAACTAATATTTACGAAATAAACAAAATGTTTCTTAATATATGTATGTTTTATCCCGTATAGGTACTATACCGTTAAGGTGATGGAAAGTTACGGTGACCAAGAGGTATAGGTGATATTAATCAGTGTGTGATAAGTAAGAAAATTGATGGTCGTGTTAAAATTAATTGAGCACATTGTACAACCTGACCTATAATGCTTCTATTTATTATATGAAAGTGGAGACGTATCGTGTTATTTATTCGGTTTAAAACACGTTTGTCATTTTTCAGTATTATTACCGAGATATATGTATATGAAAGTAGAAAATTTATTGTTCTGTTAGCAAAATTCATCTCCTTTTGGACAATTTTGTCTTTCATATTTTTCACTGTGCAATTTATATCTGTCCGAACAATATTACAACTCAAATGACACTCGCAATTTATCCAGATTGTACTACCTTCGTTAAACTGACGAATGACATTCCATGTATTAATGTATATGTATAGATATTTATTCCTATACTAACATTTTATTTAAATACAGATAAGTTCCTCATGCTACTTCTTTAGCTATCTAATGCTTATACATATTCATATCTATAGTAACATTTTATTCATATGTAGGTAGATAACTTTTTCATTCTGCCTTTTTCACTATTATTAAAAATATTTTAGATGTTCAATAAACGAATACTTCTTATTGAACATCTTTAATGGAAAAACATTATGTACTCTAGACTTCACTATTTTGAATTTACATCCTTTTTTCACGGAAATGGCAGCATATTCGATATAATATTTTAATTATTAGAACCACTGTTTGAATATAAATATAAATATGGTAAATGATTTTTTTTAAAAATGATTTCATTATTTAGTCTTAAAGGATACAATCCCTTAATTAAAATTTCGTAATTGCTTTCCTAATTCATTGAAATAGTAATTTTTTATTTCCTGCATTAAATAATTCATATTCCGGTCTATTATCTACCATAAGCAGTGATGTAAGAAATCATTAATCAGTGTTCTTTGATTATTCAACTTTTTGAAGAATTAATTTTTCTTTTAAACGTTACTTTCGGTAATTACCTAGTTTCTCAAATAAAAACATAGAGATCTGCAAATTTCTTTTGAAATAAATATGAGGTACCAATATCTTATTTACAACAATACAGTTATGATATAGTTTAATTTAATGTAATTGAACTTTCTAAATTCAAGTCATATTAGAACATTTTAAACGTATAACTTGATATTTTAAGGTTACGAGTATATTTGCGTTTAGGGCTCAAACTTCAGCAAAGGAAAACCTTACAAATGCAGTTTTCACGAAACTTTTTAACACGCAAATTGCTCAACATTTTATTACCGTGACAATATCGTCGTAAAATATATCTGTGTAAGTTCTTGGTATTACGAAGACAAATGTTTGCATATTGAATTGTATACTTATTGCTTAGATTTTAAATCATTGCTTGGATCATTGCTTAAAATTAGATCACTGCTTTATTACTGTAGCGACCTTGTCACTACAATTCCCCGTGTTTTAGGTACCTATCTACAATAGTATGCGTAAGCGGCGATTTGCCGGGTGTTTCCGGAAGGTCTTGCTCGGGGCTGCCTTTTATCGATGTATCCATCTGGCAACCAGACTCGTGCTAGCCTACAGTTTTACTGTTAGCAGCGAAAGTCAGCGAACGTTGATGACCATTGTCAGGTCACTTTTTCTACGTTTTGTTTCCAAGATTTTCGGTCATGGAGAGCACTTCTTGAAGTACTTACGGAAGCGTACACTTCATTTCGCGGTCAACTTCTTGTGCATCTTTTATCCGTGTTTCATTATAAAATATAATGCTTATGTATCGCGCGATTTCAATTGTGTAATGTTTGCGTCGTATTACTAAAGGAGTGTGGACGAACATTGACTATAAATTATTATACCTTTTGTCCCCTCACTACTAAATCCGTTTAAAAGATTGTAAGCGTTACTCTTTGGAAATTGAATATTCATCGCATAATTTACCATCGCCCGTCATCAAGGATCACTGTGACAGTTAAAGTATTAACAATATTCTATAATCTGCATTTCTTATTATAACCCTATTCTTAGGCCAAAAAATGCTTTACTTTTACCATGTACCTCTACATAAAACACAAAAATATTCTTTCCAATTGATCCATATTCAACCCATATTCGATTAATAAATAATGTTTTTTCAGGCTTGAAACCACGTACTTCCGAAATATTCCGAGGAATAAATCGACCAGTGATCATTCTTATATTTCCGACCTATTTCGACATCAAATCACATGGTTACCTGTTCGAGTGTTTCATACCCACAAATTCGAACCAGTGTCCCCGATTTCCATTCTCTCTCAAGTTTCAAGTCAATCAAGTGAGATCTAATACAATAAGACCAAGCCCTGGTTAAAAACACGAACGAGCGCTAAGTGAACTGGACGGAACGACGAGAACTGAAAAATGAAGGGCAAAAGAAATGCGTGTGTATATGTGTATATATGTACGGTCGAAGAGATATATCACTCACTCGGCGTTGGTTTCCGGCGTGGGTAGGTCACCGATGGTCGTCAGGGTGAGGGTGGACCAGTACAGCGAGCCAAGGTATTTCCTTGTCAGTGTCGCGTACTCGCCGGGCCTGTACGGGTAGACCCAGTCCCCTTGGAATCCTTCCGCCTCGCTGAGCAAGTAGTAAAAGCAGCCGAACCAATGCGCCAGTATCAGCAATATATGTATGAGATTCAGGACACGCCACAAATTCGGATAGACTGTCCGCGATTCCACCATGTAATAATAGTTATAGACACGGTAGATCTTCAGAAACCTTGGGAACCTTAGCATCGGATTGCTACCGAGGTTCACTTGTAGCAAATCGAGCGGTAGTAACGCTAGCAGATCCAAGATGAAGGATTTCGATTTCAGATAATGACCGGCCAGTTTCTTGCTGTTATAAACCATCAGGCCTTGCTCGAGGTATCCAGTACGGAATTGCACCGCCACGTCCAGAAAGAAGACCAAATCCGTGAAACCGTCACACGTGAGCCAACCTGCTGGCGCCAGCGCCTGCAGCTCTGGCAAGCTTTGCCGCACGATCAGAGTCCAGAGATTGTAAAGGACACACCCGGACAAAAGCATCAGCCAGTAGTAATAGAAGTTCTCGTCCGGATTGACCACGGTTTTTGGCGGCCTCTGCGGCCTCCTTGGTCGTCTTCGACGTCGTCCACTAGAGTCTTTGTCGTCCCCCGCGTCCCCTTCGCCCTCCCCTGTGTCCAATGTCTCCTGGCTCTCCGGGATCTGTCGAGTGGAGAACCGCTTCAAGAACGAGTCCTCGCGTTTCAACGGCGGTTTCTTCTGGATTGTCGATATCGCAGAGGACAGCTGCACTGTGGTACGTAGTTTCATCCAACGTTGATTGCTTTTCGTTCTGGGAACAGAAAGAGGAATAGATCGACAGTCACGGACTAATGGTATAAACGCGTACCGAGCATTAAAGACGAGGAACGAGATCCGAGGGCTACCGTTAATATTAAATTGAATACAATTATTGTTTTGATTGTTACGGAGAAAATTGTAAACCCTGTGCGTCCTTAATAGTACGAGAATTGTTTGACTTGTTAGGAACGACAAATCAGAAGTTTACATTTTATATAAAACCGTGGATAGAAGATTATTCTAGACAATAGAGACCCTAATCTTGATAATGTTTATCTGGCCTTTATTTATGATTCTCGACAAAAATCAGTCCAAATGATGTACCTGTATTCTTTAAGAAATACATATTCATTCAACATTATCCAAATATACGAAGATTGTACAATCCAATTTGTATACATACAGTAGTGGACAAAAAAGTTACCACTTTCCTCATTTTTAGAATTTTTAATGTTTCCTAACGTCAACTTGAAACCTTAATATATTGGGTTTTATACAGCCTTTAATGCTCTATCCGAACATATATTAAACGCATACTAAAGTTTTAAGTTGATATGAAAAATTAATAAAAATCAAACAAATCGAGAAAGATAACCTTTGTCCGCTACTCCACGTATACGATAAATTGGGCTATAAAATCTGCGTGCATTTGGAAATTCGATTTACCAGTCTGTACTACCGTGGTCGTTTGTTTTTAACTTTCTCGTAATAAGCGTTGTTTGTAAATGACCGCCAAGCTGGTTGTCATATACAACACTTGACTGGAAAACACACCTGGCGCAAGAGAGAGATTTGCAAGGGGTTGAATACTAATAGCACACATGTGCAAGTGATTCGAATAAATTAGTGAAAATTATATATATACATATGTATCTATAAAGTATGTTCAGAATGTTAATATACATAAAAACATGAAAATGAAGGTTTTTCATAGGCAGCTTTGTTTTCAAGAAAATTGAATTTGAATATTTATTGCGTGGGAGGACTTAAAGAATATAGTTTAATTAACATGTTTGTTCTTTTAAGTACTCTTTTTATTAGGTTACGTTTATTATATCAGTAAAGTGAACAAAAAAAATCTAAATCTTTGCCCTTATCATTTTAAGAAAAATTGTTCGATGACCATTTTCTTGTAGTATTATTTGGTTTTAGCCTGGGCCAGTGTACAGTTTAAAGGTGCAGTTTCTGCAGAAATTTCAAATTTTGTAAACCATAGCTTTTTTACCGAAAAGAGTAATAATAAAAATTATTATCAAGAACTAACAGACTTTTAAATGTATTTAACATATTTATTGTAAATAGACATTAAACTTCCGTAACCCCCTTTATTTTTAGTGTTTCCGCCATACCCGAAGATATTTTATGTCAAGGCCTATTTTTTACCTATAGACTCTAAAAAATCTGACAAAATTCAGGTATACATCTCAGGATCTCTACTTTATGATCTAATAGTTTTCAAAGCTGCATGTTTAAAGTTTTTTTTTATAACAATGTCTTTGTTTCAAAGAAATTTAAGAGCGAAATTTTGCTGGTCCCACAAAAGATCCAGAAAGGTCACAGAGGGTTAAGAAACAGAGAATTCAAAGTCGAAATGTACTTCTAGTTATTCTGTCGAATTTTTACGGAAACATAATAAATTAGGCAGAATCGAAACATCACTCCTTCTCATAATCAATGGCAATCTATTATTCCGCACGTTATTCTTTCCGTCGCATGAGTAATCATGTTCTTTTCAGTAGTATTATGGACTACGATTCGATCTACACAATTAAGTACCATAAATACAACCCCTTGGAGCTATTCTCGAGATATCGTAAGCGCTTCTAAGAATTTATGGGCATTCTTACATAATACCAGGACTTCACAGCTTACTTTCCATGACAGTGACAAATTGTTTCAATTGAAGCTACTCACCACTTCAAAACAGAAAATACTGTAATTAAGTTGCTGAGAGACTAGTTGTAAAAATTTATTTTATGTGTTAAGAAGTTATCAATCGACATTACGTTTAAAACGAATGCTCACTTCTATGGGTTGTACAATATGTTTCACATATCTCTACCAGAGTGCATCGTGCAGGCCTATTAAACAATGGATCAATGGTAATATGTATATTTTGGATCACCAGGTTACCGTTAAAGCTCTATCAAATCCTTTACAAACCGTGTCCATGCATGACACCTTCATACATGAATCGTAAACCTTCTTGCATCTCGTTTCACACTTTCCACTATGGATATAAGTACACGGTCTATCCCAAATGTTTCAGAACTAAAATTAAAACATCAGTTTTCCGGAAAATTACGATGTTCTTTATCATCAAAATATTGAAAATAGTTTTTCTTTAATAAGATGTATTGCTCAAAATAATTATAGAAACTCTGGAAATAGCTCTGATATTTCTTCCTTATGATGTTGAAAAAACGACAATGGATCTTTTAGAAAACATTGTGGTCTCAAAGGATACCTCTCACAGTTTGATTATCCACCGAAGTCGTTTAATTCAACTACATAGAAAGATAAAGAAACGACGATCTAAAATCTAAATTGTGAAGAAAAATTACTAGAGCTATTTCCAGTGTTTGTATAATTATCGTGAACGATATATCACTTCAGAAGGAAACTATTTTTAATAATTGACGATAAAAAACGTGAATATCATACGAAAAATTACTGGTTTAACTTCAATTCGGAAACTATTGAAGTAAATCGTGTTCACTGCAGGTCAAAAGTAAGGGAGCAGGTCTTGTAATTAATGGAACTGGAAAGTACCATTTCCTGACGATTCGGAGAAACCGATAAAAGAGTAGTTTATTGTAATACTTCTTAATATAATACCTAGGAAAAGGAGTCATAATTGCCATTGTATCCAATGATATAGTACTTAGAAGATTGAGAGAGGTGAAACCTGTATCAATCTTTGTTGAAGCCTTTTTTTAGAATTTGCAAAATTTTAGTCATTTCTGAAAACTAACTATGAATAATAACTATAAACAATGTATCACCTTTGACTTAAACCTTAGTTTTTATAAGTTACTGAAAAACCATTATAAAATGAAGTAAACGTTTATTCAGGTACACTCGAACTTTTAATCAGTAGGGTATTCGTTATTAGTCGAGTTTTTCTTCTTTAATTCGCAAAATGTAGTGACGAAGTCAAAGATAATAGATTTATAAAAAATTCATTATTATTTAAGATTAATTTTCGTAAATCGTATTGATTGTATTTCCAATGACCAAATTTTGGAAAATTTTGAATGCTTAATCGAATATTTGAAAATATACATTTCTGCCAGGTCAATTCTTCTGCGTGCTGTTATATTCAAAATAATTATAATGGCTTTTTTCTAGATGTATGTATATTACACATATACAAAAAAACTACTTTCAAATCAGTCTTCTTAAATCTTTATAAATTGATACACATATTTCACTTTCATTAAGTACAATACCTGGGTCCATTATTTCTTTGGACGCTTGTGCATGTAATATCTGTACGTACATGTATATATGTAAATATATCTATACTTGTTGCAAGCAGACAGTTCTACTTTCGTTCCATTCGCCAAAATCCACTGAAAGGAAAGAAACACAGAATTCTCCGACGAGACAGTCGACGCCGCCTTATAGTATCGTTCCCATTCTGATTATTATATGTGTATAGATCTAAATCTATGTATAACAAAGATGATAAGGTGATTCTTACTTGAAATAAAAAGTGAGCGAAAATCGAGTAAGATTAGTTCAGTATCAGAGCATCAGATGGATGAGAGGCAGACAGACAGACAGACAGATATAGACAAACAGACAGAGCCAGAAACATCGAGAGAGTTGTCAATTAGGTTAGATAGAGACAGAACGAAACTAAAGGTGAACTTTTCGTATGCCACTACGCATTCTTTTATCGTTAATACACCCATGTTATGTATATTGTAATGTTGAACTGAGTGTATACATTCTGTATGTAGTTGTAAGGATAGTTATATGTCGGAGTCTCCTATGCGTATGTATAAGCTGACGGTCGAAGAATAGAGTATAATTGGGAATCAGTGTTCCTTCTCTAATTAGACGAGCCGGTAAGGGGAAGCAGTTGCGACGTACAGTGTCAAGCACCAGCATTCGATCAACAATAAGATATCATCATATAGTAATCCCCTAGATATGTATATGTTCCTTGACTTCATTTTAACTCCAAAACTTTCAGTTCGACGTAACTTGACTTTTGCTCTACCGTCGGCATGCACTATTCAAAAACAATGTCTGCAATATACCGAGATTGTAGTTGTGACACATTCCAAAACGAAGCAATGTTCAAGAAAAGAAAAGAATTAGGGGATTGCTAACGTGTGCGGTCCTATTGCACCTAGCAAGCGAAAGAAACAAAACAAGTGCTACAGATTTGTTAACTTGATATCGTTTCTGTACAATACTAACACTATTAACACCTCGTTATATTTGTATAAACAAATTTTCGGGAATTATACGTCGAATTGATGAGCACAGCGACTGCAATACATGATCCTTTAATTGTTTTCAGCAGTGTAGTTAGAGGGTCAGATATTGCAGCTACTGTGTGCCCTTCGTTAAGTCGACTATTATAATTCCTCAAAAGTTTATTATGAAGAAACAAAACTGGTTGTTAGTGTCGTATGGAACAGGTGTAATTTATCAAATTCATGGCATTAGTGACGTTTCTTCCGCTTGATTGACAGACTAGGACCACCCACAGCTGCGATTCTCTAATTGTTTTAGGACGTGTGGAATAGTAACGAGGGATTCTCGACCAGCAGCAGTTTCTCCGAGCGATTAAAAGCGAGAGGATGAGTCATCTAATACTGAAAATGAAAACTCACATTTTTCATTATGAGAAATTCATATTGAGAATATTACAGACGTGTCACCATGATTATTATTTCATAAATTGTGGTCGCATTATTGAAAGAGGAAGGCGAAGCTTGTTCAATAATATCACTTTAAAAAAAATCTATCTAA